GACCGATTGGAGCGGCTCCGATCGCCGTGTCTTATGGGTCGTGGCTTGGACTGACCTCACCGCGACTATCGAGTGATCGAATTGGAGAAGGCTTTTGTGTTGGTGCTCGCGGCATTGCAACAGAAATATCGGCAATTGAGGAGATTCAAAAGGTTGTCAAGGGATTTAAAACCCACCTTATGTGCTCGCCGCTCAAGAGCATTTGTGATAGTTAGGTGAGAGAGAAAATAGTGGAAAAGACGGGCGGAGGCGGAGGCTTTGGAGTTCTTCAGTTCTAGCGCATTTGTCGACGTTCCAATTTGGCAGGAAAGCCACAGCGATCTGTGCTAGATTTCTCCACCTTTTTCCTGGTGCACATAAGGAGCCAATGCACGGAGGCGAAGAGAAGAAGGCTGGCCAGTGGTTCGAACTAAGGCCATAATTGTTGGGCCTCGTGGCTTTCGTTCCTTCAGCCACATTTCTCCCATTCAGGACCACGCAAAGACTTCAACTGACTGCCAAGACGGCCCCACAGTAAGCTCTGAACGTGGTTTTTAAACCCTTGGTAGGCTGATTGACATTAAAGGTAAGTTAGTGGTGATGTGTACGGTGTTGGTAATAGGCACGCGATCGCCAAGAATTTCGTTGCTTTGTAGTCATATAGAATGAAAACATCTGGGTATCCTTGGCAAACACGTTTGTCCGAGAACTTGACGTTTTGGGTGACATGTCTCAGTTGGGATACTTGTGAGATAGCTGCTATTCACTGGCGGAAGGACCAGTGCGCGGGACTGCAGCTGCACACTGCAAACGCCGTGTTATGCACGCATCCTTACAAGGAACAAAGCAGCGCGAATCATGTGAGGGAATCTTGCGGGACCAAACGCACGAAGTTATGCTATCCGTGTATGGTACTTTTATGGCTTTCTCAGCCATCTCGCTATTTCCTCGTCCTCTGCAGTTAAATGAGGTCGGCCCCCAATAACTGACGTGCCCCAAACTGTTGTGCATCAAGGTGTCCTTAACCCCAAGCCCTGCCTTGGATCTTTATGTCATTGGCGTTATCCTCATCCCACGCCCTATGTTTATTTCGAGAAGCCAAGCGCTCCACGTCATAGTGATTGGTGCAAGAAAAGCCACATGCTCGCCGATGTAGTAGTCAATACAGCATAGTATAACCTTGCCCCACCATGCCAGCAATCACAAGCAACGACAAGGAAAGGATGCTCTTTGTTGGCTTTATTGGCTGCACGGGGCACGCAGGTGCCACATGAAATGTGCAGATGTGCGCCAGGTCGAAGGGGCAGAATTGTTAAACAAGGAACTAAATATGGGAACAGTAGACGTGGAAAAACCGTGTTCCTGAGTGGGGCAACACCTGAGAGCTCAGTCGGGCTGTCTTCACCGTTTTCAGCGATGGAACAGTCGTGTGCTGTTGCAGGGTCGCAAAGCGAGAGGAGGCGGAATGACCGCGAAGCTTGAGCCCATCTCAACGTGCCGCGATTCCCCCAATGGTGCGTGTCTGAACAGGACTGCTGCCTCAGTCCTCTCAGGTTCGCCCGCCGGGCTCCTGGGAGAGGACGGCTGCCGGTTCTCCCAGCCTTACCCGCCGGGCTCCTGGGAGAAGACGGATACCGGTTTCCCCCCGCCCTACCCGCCGGGCCCCTGGAAGAGGACGGCTGCCGTTCCCCCAGCTTTACCCCGCGGGCCCCTGGGAGAGGACGGCTGCCAGTTTCTCCCAACCTTACCCGCCGGGCCCCTGGGAGAGGACGGCTGCCAGTTCTCCCAACCTTACCCGCCGGGCCCCTGGAAGAGGACGGATGCGTTCCCCCAGCCTTACCCGCCGGGCCCCTGGAAGAGGACGGCTGCCGTTCCCCCAGCTTTACCCGTCGGGCCCGGGAGAGGACGGCTGCCCAGTTCTCCCAACCTTACCCGCCGGGCCCCTTGGAAGAGGAGGCTTGCCGTTCCCCCAGCTTTACCCGCCGGACCCCTGGGAGAGGACGGCTGCCGTTCCCCCAGCCCTTACCCGCCGGGCCCCTGGAAGAGGACGGCTGCCGTTCCGCCAGCCTTCCCGCCGGCCCCTGGGATGGGAGAGGACGGCTGCGTTCCCCGCCTTACCCGCCGGGCCCCTGGAAGATGACGGCTGCCGTTTCCCCAGCCTTACCCGCCGGCCCCTGGAGAGGACGGGCTGCCGGTTCCCCAGCCTTTCCCGCCGGGCCCTTGGGAGAGGGCGGCTGCCGTCCCCCCAGCCTACCGCCGGGCCCCTGGAAGAGGACGGCTGCCGTTCCCCCCCCGCCTTACCCGCCGGTCCCTGGAAGAGGACGGCTGCCGTTCCCCAGCCTACCCGCCGGGCCCCTGGGAGAGGACGGCTGCCGGTTCCCCAGCCTTTCCCGCCGGGCCCCTGGGAGAGGACGGCTGCCGTTCCCCCAGCCTTACCCGCCGGGCCCCTGGAAGAGGACGGCTGCCGTTCCCCCAGCCTTACCCGCCGGGCCCCTGGGAGAGGACGGCACCATGCGAAGCGCCGTCGGAACAGCCGCCGCCTCGTCATCCGCACTCACGCCCGGTTTCTCCCCTCGTACCGACCGAGACGTACGCGCTCCGCGGCGATGTCAAACCGGCCTGGGCCGGCGCGACCGCGCCCAGCTAGCGCCGCCACGATCGTGTGACACGTGCGGCGCGTGCTGCCACGGCTCGGCTGCCCCGCACCGTCCACGTGTGTGACGCTCACCTCAAGGGTTCGGATGAGTTGTACGATATCGCCCGTTGGCGGGTGGTGATCGCGTGAAGGCTCGCCGTATCCAGCCTGCTGGTGTGACTCCCCGTCACATGGAGCCGTTGGGGGGACGTGACGGGCGCACTACACCACGACCATCACGCTTCACCACGACCATCACGCTTCACCACGACCACCACGCCACGCCATGGCTACGACGCTACACCATGGCTACTACGACCACCACGCTGCACTATGACCACCATGACCACCACGCTACACTATGACCACCACACTTGCTACGCATCGTGGTAATTATGCGCACTGTGCCGCGTACGTCACTTTGTAGTCACAGGTGGAATGTGTAGCCAGAACTGATTTTGCATTGATGGAGGCGATCATCTCAGCTGAATTGGGTGCATTGCTCAGAGTCCTTAGTCCCTGGCCCTTAATTTCGTGGTCCTTGGGCCTCTTGATCATTTTCCCGAAGTGTCTGGGTAACCTCGTCAGTCAGTTGTTTGTTTTCACATATGTTAGCAAGTAGGCAGATCGCTCCGGTCCATGTAGATGACGGTGGCGCAGTGTCGGCTCTCTGTCCCGGCAGCTGGCCTGCCCTCCGTGGTCTGCTCGAGGCTGGTGTGTAGAAGCACGTTACGGTCAATGTGGATGACGGTGGCGCAGCGTCGGCTCTCTGTCTCGGCAGCTAACCTGCCCTCCGTGGTCTGCTCGGGCTTGGTTTGCAGTGGGGCGTTCCGTTCCTTTTTGATGACGGTGGCGCGGCGTCGGCTCTCTGTCCCGGCAGCTGGCCTGCTCTCCGTGGTCTGCTCGGGCCTGGTTTGTAGTGGGACGCTCCGGTCGCTGTGGATGACGGTGACGCGGCGTCGGCTCTGTTTTAGCTCCGTCTCCCTTCCGTGGTCGGCTCGAGCTGGTGTGCTCGTGGCGGCTCGCCACAGCATGAAGCCCGCAGGCGCTCATGCGGCCGGTGTGTGTCCAACTGAACAGCATCCAGCAGCTGGTAGGCATTTGGTGGCGTTAGTGCTTTGAGCGTTCGAGGCGTGTCCCAATGCATTTTGGATCGTTTTCGGGCAATGGCTGAGCGAGGTATGCTTCTAACGGACAGCCGTTGGAGGCCCCTGCGCTGACCCTGGCTCCGGATGTAGGGCAGGGAGTGGCAGACAGGGCAGTGGGCACATGAACGATAACGAAACTGAAGCCAGACCGATGGCCCGTCACACTCGGCGCAGCACAGCCATGGTGCATGTGTCGTTAATTCCGGCGATTGCGGGTGCTTTCTAATGACCTTGTTTCCCGAGCATTACAAATCACTAGATTGGTTTGTTTACGTTCCACGGAAGAGCCGATTTCCGGGTCGGAGGCGTGTCGTCGCCAGCCGTGGGAGCGGCGCACGCGCTCGCTCGCGCTTGTTCACGCTGGGGACTGGATAAACCAGGTCCTGCGGGCCGATGGCCGCTGCCAGTTTCGGTATTCAGGGGCGACGGTTGGGCCGTTGCTTGCGTCAGTCTTTGTCGTCGGTGCCCCAGGCATCGTGAACGTACTCCTAGAGGCATTGTTTTCTTTTTTAGCTAAATGCGTCGAAACAAGGGACTTTCTCCTGACTCATCACGCATGTCGCGAAGCCCCCACGAATATGTGTATTTACTGTAGATACGGCATCCATGTGTTGAAACAATGTATCGTGAGCGTTTAATGCCTCGATTTTATTCATGTCCAGTAAACGCGACACGTTAGCCTCACTGGAATACCAGCCGTGGGCATCCATAGGACGCCCCCCGCAAATTATTTCCTGGAATCACGGCGCGACCTGGTTGGGGCAGGTGATCACAGCACGATTCCGCTGGTAAGCCACATGCCGCTTATCAACCACTTGCCATCACTGCTTGGTCGACAACAGCTGGCGCCGGCAACAGTGAGCCGCGCTGACACCGCTCATTGTCAGCCCGCAGCCGACGGAGATCCCCCGGCGTCCGACCTGTCACAGTCTCGGTCTACACCGCAGTCTCCCGAGCCGCCGCGGTCCCCAGTTTCCCGAGCCGCGGCGGTCCCCGGTCTTCCGAGCCGCGGCGGTCCCCGGTCTTCCGAGCCGCCGTGGTCCCCGGTCTCCCGAGCCGCCGCGGTCTCCGGTCTCCCGAGCCGCCGCGGTCTCCGGTCTCCCGAGCCGCCGCGGTCCCCGGTCTCCCGAGCCGCCGTGGTCCCCGGTCTCCCGAGCCGCCGCGGTCTCCGGTCTCCCGAGCCGCCGCGGTCCCCGGTCTCCCGAGCCGCGGCGGTCCTCGGTCTCCCGGGCCGCCGCGGTCCCCGGCCCGCGGGCTGCGGCGGTCCCCGGCTCGACAGCCGCGGCGGCCGGCGCATGCTCAGTGACCGTACGGGCAGTTCTTCTGGTCCGTACGCTGCAGCTTGCTCGGGTCCAGGCCGTAGCGGCGGATCTTGCGCCTGACGTCCTTGATAAGATACGGGTCGGGGAAGCGCTCGCGCGTCAGGATCCACAGGATCTGCGCATTGAACAGCTTCATGTCGGTACAGGACCAGACGATGGCGTAGTTGTGGTAGTCGGTGTCGATGACGTTGTAGTTGGGTCCGCTGCCGAAGCTCGGCGTGCCCTGGAAGCTGACGCGCAGCTTCGCTTCCCCCTGCCTGCCGGCCGGTACCGCCTGCCCGCGGATGTCGTTCTTCCGTCCGTTCTTCCGCGACTGGTTCAGCACGCCGATGCGGCCGTAGCCAGCGTCCGAGTACGTGGCCGTCACGCACGTGCCGCCTACCTGGAAGATGGCGAAGTAGTTGCTGTGCTCGTACCACTTGCCGAGGTAGCGCTCCGCCTGGAAGTGACGCACCACGGGCGGCCGGGGGCAGCTGCCAGCGAACATCACCTGGCCGGCGGCCGAGGCGGCCAGCAGCAGCAGCAGCGGTGGCACTGCGCGCGTCGCCGTCATCGTCGAGAGTGTGGCGCCGGCCGGCTCGCGCGCCGTCTTCTGGTGAACCGGCCCGGCCCGGCCCGCCCCGCCAGGGGGGAGGGGCGACACGGCCGCTGCCGTGCCGGGCTCCGCCGCGCCGCCAACAGCGCCGCACGCACCGTCGCCGAGAAGAGACGTTTTTGTGCCTGTGGGTGGAGCGGAATGGTCAGGCTTGGCTTGTGCCATGCTACGCTTTTTCATTTCCGTTGTGGGGCGGCTTCGTTTCGGCGGGAAGGTGATGAAAGTGGCCACATCGTTTAGTCGGCCCGCGAGACCGGCATCCTTCGTAAACGGTGAACTGAATGCCCGGGTGCTCGTTGAAAAACAATCCGAACAAAACCGATTTCAATTTTGTTCACTGACGCCAGGTCAGCTAGGTGTGACTGATGCGAGTAACAGAGACGGTCCTTTTCAGAAACGTATCAGAACCATTACAACGACATGAGATGTGTGACAAACAGGGTAATGACAAGTGTAGTTGTATTGTTACCACGTAGATCAGTGTACCCCGCCTTTGATGGCCATGTCCCCTTGATGGTGGATCAAAATTCACGCTTTCTTTTCGAACCAAACGGCATAATTGACCTACGTCAAGCGCATTTTATCTCTTGTTGTGAGGAGCTTCAGGCGTATCACTCACAGGTTCAGAGAAGTTCCTACGCAGCGATTGTGTTCGGGCAGTACAAATTAAATCTAATAATTTAATTAGGCATCCGTGCCCGAACGCTCATTGCAGTAACGCCTCTCATTCAGCACCGACCTGTTTGATACTCCCTGGGCAATTATCTTCCTTGACTCTTAACTCAATATGGTTTGCAACATCGCGTTTCCCCTTGGACCGTCATACCCCCCCCCCCCCCCCCCCCCACCGCCTCCCCCTCCTGTGTGGAAGGCCTTGTGCGTGGTACCCAAAAAAGATAAAACACCCAACGCATGTGGCAACCGACACCAAAGGCTCGATCAGCGCGTTGGAAGGCACATTTTATGAGATTTTGACAGGCACAGGTCCGCTGATTCGGCATTTGCGCAATCATCGACCTCTGCCATTGTCTGAAAGCTGGCTGGCCGTGAATGCCGTCAGCCTTGGCAAGTTAAACCGTCGGCATAACTACATCTGCAATTATTTGCGGTTTCGTTAATTATGACCTAATTATATACATACATATATAACGTATATACATGCATATATATATATATATATATATATATATATATACGTTTATATGCATATATATGTGTATATATATATATATGTATACATATATATGTATATATATATACGGTCTCGGCTTTGAGATACATTTGCGGTCGGGCTGTAGCCGGTACACGCGCTCACATGGTAGTCTCGGTCTCACGCCTGTGTCTGACCCGGTGGATGAGATTGACCTCAATTGGTAACGACACCCGAATCAGGCGGGTCCAAGCTTTGCACACGAGGCAGTGTGCTATTCCGCGCGCATTGAATCAAACGTTTACTTGTGCCGTTGTCTGTTGTTTCCTCCGTCAGCACTGACCAGTTCGCACCAGTTCAGCATCAGTTCACCTGGGGTTCGCTGCGAAGCCAGGTTGTCGATACTTGAGCCCGACCTCTACCTGTCCTCTTCAGCTGTTTCGCTTTTACCCTGTTAATGTTCTTCGAATGGTAATATTGGCAGTGGTGGTAATATTGCAATGTCGCAGGGAAAACACTCCTGATCGGACAATATTCGTGCAAATGCTCAGGAATCTACGCGGCAAATCGCAGCCTGGTACACCATCACCCCTGAGCTCTCATATGGCCGAGAAGTTCGTTGCGTTCCCTTGAAAATTTCTTTAACCGCATTATTATTCATTGAATGCGGAAAGTCGCAGCAAGCCTGTGCTACATTTACACTGGATCCTAGGGGGATGGGGTCTCATAGACACGCTAAACAAGGGCTTTCAAGCGTAAGGTCTGCGATGGTGTAATGGTTGTTTCATGCCGTTCAATAAGGTTTGCTGTCCTTAGTTATGATATGTACTTATATGTGACTGCTATGTGATCATGTTGTCACAGGGCCCGAAGCCCCAAGCGATCTTAAATGATCAAGCGATCTTTGTTTCGTTTCAAATGTCTTGTGTGAATTTACAGTGTTGTGCTCTCCAGACCTCAGCCGTTTGTGGTTTGGCGGAATGACCTTGACTCAAACCGCAGGCCGCGAAGCGTCCTTCCGGCGGGATCGTCACCGGTCGGCAGTCAGGTGAGTCTGACCTCGGGTCACCTGGCCAGCTGGCCGTCAGAATGTCGATTGTGCCTCTCGCCGTGATAGACACGCACTACGCACTGATGCATCAGAACTTGTTCTGCGGAGTTCTCGATGTGTTGCGTCATGGGCCAGTGGCGCTTTCCCGGAGCGTTAAATAAGAGTGCATTCCCGGAATGATAGATAGTTCATGGACCGGAAACCTGATAGCATCCGGAGATTGTTAGCCGTGGACTCGTTTCGGTGGTCTTCTGGGAAAGCGCAGACCAACGCACAGGCAGTCCCGCTCGCTGGGTGGTTTCCTCACTTCCAAACCAACGCGCTTGGCCAACACTAAGCAGGCAACCCAGTGGTGCTACAGAAAGTCCAAAATATTCAGCTTCGCGGGCTGTCTTTGGTTTCTGCATGCATGTCGCGGGGGAATTTTATGGCGGCGGCCTGAGACGCAGGCATGTGTGAGCTCGACCACACGAACGCCGCCTCCCTGTGTTGATGGGCGGCCGGGGGCGGATGTGTCGCCGTCCTGCCGGGCTTGACGCACTCGAGCTGAGCCGCGGAGACCACTGCGAACTCGCCGAACAGCGCCCCAAGAGGCCCAGGCTAGCCCGGCATAGTGGGATAGGAGGTCGAATAATTGGATTGGACCGGCGTCGATTATCCCATTCCTTTTCCCGTTGGCCAGGCCATACCAGCTCATACCAACGGCATAGTGTATGTGAGAGACCGATCATATACTGCAAGAGCTTAACAGGTTTAGACCGATTTTGCGGGCTACCAAACAACATTAACCATGTCTTCCCAGCATTGTCCCTGAAACTGTTAGTAGGAGGTAAACATTAAGCGATGCCAGGAACCTGAGCCAAACATTGAGAGAGGCCAAAAACCTGGAGCAAAACATCAAGAGAGGCCAGAACACGTTCATGTGGTGGCGGCGTGTTGGGATTGGTCTGTTCTTCCGTTGACTCAACGTCGGGTGTCCCCGCCCTGAGCAAGCACCGCTCGCTCGGCGAATAGCAGACCAAGGTTTATGCGCTGCTTCGACGCCCGGCGTCAGCCGCGTGTAACTAAGCCTGTTTGGCTCTCATCAGTCCTGCAACCCGTCATCATCCGATCGCACGGATCATGTGATCCGTCGGATGCGATTGTGCGGATTCCGATCCGAGTCCGTCCTCCGCAGCCGACAGCGGGGCCGAGACCGCTGCGCCGGCCGACCGCCCCCGCCGACCTCCCCTGGTTGTCAGGCGAACACAAACGGTGACCTTTCCCGTTCAGTGTGACGGACGGCGGCATCTCCGGGTCGTCAGTGGACCGCACGGCGCCGGTGCATCGGTCCTTGTTACATAAGGGCGCCGCTCGTGCGCGCTGTGCCCCCCCCCCCCCCCCCCCCCCCCCGAGGGCAGCCGTCATCAGCGCCGGCTGGTTTCCGTTCTTGAAGGATTGGCCCGGCAGGGTGCCAGCTTAACCGGCGGCGCAGAGCGCGCCGAGCTGTGGTGGGCGCGACGGAACGCGCGGAGCGGGATCTCTGCTCCGCCCTGCGTCAGTGGCGACCACATCCGACTCCCTCGACGCTCCCCTACAGCCCTACGTAAGCTGGCAGCGGCCGGCCGCGCTGAGCCGGCACCCTGTGCTGCGACACTGCGCCGGGGTTTTCCACGCCTGCCTGGCCGGAAGGGACGGCGTCTGGCGTGACGGGTCTAACTTGGTGCGTCAACAGGAGGGCGCCCGCGGCGGCGCCCGTCACGGCGCCTGACTGCGCCGATAACGCCCCCCGTGCGTACGGCGAAGTGGGACGGGCTCGCGGGCGCGCCGAAGTTCCGGCTCCGCGGCGGGGGGGGGGGGAGAGGGGCAGCGTGACGAAGATGGGGCTTACCGTGCCAGACGGGTTCGAGATGGACGGGCTGTTGGGGGCAATCGCGTGGTATGGTTTGTCGAGAAGGTGACTGGTATGCGGTTACAGTACGCAGTCACGACACTTACAGCGAGATGGTCTGTCAGGAGGTGACTTGCATAAAGCTACAGTACGTAGTTACAGCAGTTACAGCGAGATAGTCTATCGAAAAGATGAATTGCATAAAGTTGCAGTATGCAGTTACAGCAGTTACAGTGAGAGGGCCTGTCAAAAGGTGACGCATAAAGTTACAGCACGCAGTTACGGCAGTTACAGCGAGATGGTCTGTCAAAATATGACTTGCATAAAGTTACAGTACGCAGCTACGGCAGTTACAGCGAGGTGGTCTGTCCAGAAGGTGACTTGCATTAAGTTGCAGCTCGCAGTTACGGCGGTTACGGCGAGATGGTCTGTCGAGAAGGTGACTGGTATGCGGTTATAGTACGCAGTCACGGCATTTACAGCGAGGTGGTTTGTCAGAAGGTGACTTGCATAAAATTATAGTACGCAGTTACAGCAGTTACAGCGAGATGGTCTATCGAAATATGACTTGTATAAAGTTGCGGTATGCAGTTACAGCGAGAGGGCCTGTCAAAAGGTGACTTGCATAAAGTTACAGTACGCAGTTACGGCAGTTACAGCGAGTTGGTCTGTCGAGAAGGTGACTTGCATAAGGTTACAGTACGCAGTTACGGCAGTTACAGTGAGATGGTCTGTCGAGAAGGTGACTGGTATGCGGTTACAGTACGAGTTACGGCAGTTACAGCGGGATGGTCTGTTGGAAGGTGACTTGCATAAAGTTTCAGTACGCAGTTGCAGCGGTTACGGCGAGATGGTCTGTCGAGGAGGTGACTGGTGTGCGGTTACAGTATGCAGTTACAGCAGCTACAGGGC